GTGGCACACACTCGTTTGTGTTCTACTTTGTTACTTGACATTGTCTTTTGTAGATTTTTTTTTTACCATGTTAGAATTCATGTTATGAGAAAGCGAGCCACTCACACACTGAGCTAGATTATTTCAAGGTAAGTCAGGTCTGTTCTTCAGTCTATGGTTCTATGATCTTTTATAGTCCATGGAAAAATATCATTTCTTCACTAAAGTACAGATGTCCCCAACTTACACGATGGTTCAACTCATGGTGGTTCAACTTTACCATGTGTGAAAGCTATAGGTATAATCAATTACAGGAGATAGTCAACACTTTATTATAAAATAGACTTTGTGTTAGATGATTTTGCCCAACTGTAGGCTAATGTAAGTGTCCCGAGTTTTAAAGTAGGCTAAGCTGAGCTATGATGTTTGGTAGGTTAGACGTATTAAAGCATTTTCAACTTATGATATTTTCAACTTACAGTGGAGTTTATAAGGACATAACCCCACCATAAGTCAAGGAGCGTCTGTATGTTTAATCTTTCCCAACAGTAGGGTTTTCTGGCTTTATCACTTTTTTTTTTTTTTTTTGCGATTCTAAATAGTTCTATGAGTACCTCTTGTACAAATGGATTAGCTTAAAAGCTAATTCCTGAGGGCAGGTTTCTCAAGGAGTAGTCCTGGATTGTCTGTAACAGAATCACTTGTGGAGCTTGTTAAAGATTCCCAGGCCCTGCCCTGATTTGGAAATCACCAGGGGTGTAGCCTAAATTTAAACAGGTATCACACATACCAGACCTTTAGGACATACACAGTCCACAAAGTGCAATTGCTAGTCACAAGGAAAGGCCTATGGAATGGCTCTTTTCACACGTGGCCAGGCAGTCCCCTGGGCAAAGACGGTGGCAGCTGCCGTGTATGAAGGCCCTTGCTCCACTTGTGGTTTTGGGAAATTCCTCAGACTTGCATTGGAGATGCTCCAAGTGCTAAGACACCTGCAAAAGGAGAGGTAAAAGGATGGAGGTCAAGTCCAGAGCAGAGGGGTAGAACTTGCCAGGGTGCCCTGAAGGCAGTTGTGAGTTGGAAGGGCTGGACTCGGAAGCTGGATTCTAGTTCAGGAATCACAGGGCGGGCAAGGGGGCTCTGGCACTACTGGTTCCATAGCAACCCGAAGGATGTGAAGATAGTTCTTATACACAGGTCCCAATACACCAGCGGCCCTGTCCTAGCGGCTGTGTCTCATTAGCCTGCACTTAATGGAAGCTGGAGGTAATCCAACCAAGAAAAAAAAAAAAGATAACCTTATAACCTCAAAGTTGGAAAGATATTTGAAATCAAACCGAATAGAGAAAACTACCAGAACAAACAAAACCGTTAAAACTGGTCCCCTAAAAAAACCAAAAAAAAGTGGTTGCCTAAGAAGTACGACTGTTGCGGGCAAAGGGGAGGCAGCAAGGCACTGCTGTTTTTCCTCATAAACCTTTTGCTAGTGATTCTCTTTTTAAAAACCATGTACCTGCACTGCCTTTACTTCAAAAAACATATGTAATGTATTTAAAAACAAAGAAGAGAATGATTTGCACCATGAAGGATGTTGAGCAGCCTCAGATATGTTAGGAACGGTAAAATAATCTTGGAACCAGCCCTTTAAAAACCAGGGGTGTCAGGCCGGCCGAGTGGCGCGATGGTTAAGAACTGGCTTGGGATGCCAGAGGGCCCCGGTTCGGATCCCACATATGAGGGCCAGTGACACTGCCCTCCACAGCTAAGATGATGAACAACAGCTCAACCTGGAGCTGGGCTGCTGTGAGTCAACGGCAACGGCTAGGCTGCAGCCCCTGTGGCAGTGGGTTGCCATGGGCTACCGTGTGTAGCCAGCAGCCAGCATGAGCGGCCAGCACCTGCGTGAGCGGCCATCCAGAAGCCGGTGACTGATGTGCCTCACCCGGGAAGAGTGCAATGATGGTGCCAACTTGGGCCAGTGAAGCAGCGTCCTCCACAACTAGACTGAAGAACAAAACGACAGCAACTTGTCTGTTCCCCTTCCCCCAATTCCCCAGCACTGTTCCCATACCCCCAATTCCCCAATAAAAATCTTTAAAAAAAAAAAACAAAAAACAACCAGGGGTGTCAAATATGCACTAGAAGACGCTCTGGGCTGTTCTCCCGAGGCCCGCACCCGGCTGCAGCCAGGCAGGAACCAGCGCTCGGTGGCCCCCTAAGGCGATCCTGCGGGACTCGCGGAATTCGTGTGAAGCGGCGGCGGGGTGCGCACGCGTCCAGCAGCGCATTTCCTCCCCTCCGGGAAGTCCCGCAGGGCCGCAAGACGCTGGGGTTTGGCTACTTGTCAGAGGAGATAGGCAGTAGGAGCCAGGATTCGCTTCTGAAGGTGCCAACAGCCGGGACCGGGACCTCGCAGCTTGAGTAGACAGACCACTTCCTGGCTCCCACCCCGTGAAGGTTGTGGATGAGCCCAATGGAGGCTGAAGAGAGGAGGCCAAGCACCCCGACCCCTGAGAGAGACTAAGCCCCGCTGCAGTCACACCTGCAGACCCTGAGGACCAAGAAGAGCAGAGCCGCGTTCTCTACCGCCAGTACCGGCAACTGGTGGAAAATTTCTCCAATGGCATCAGTAGGGTATGCCGAGTAGGGTATGCTAGCGAGGGACTCACTGAAATTAATCTGAAGACACTTTAAGTTAACGAATGCGCTGTTGAGTGCAGTGTCTGACCCAAGAGATGCTGTTCGGGAAGCTTTGTTTGGCTTTCAGAGTTAGGTAAAGAAAAAGCAAATCAGATATTCTCTAGTAAATCATTCGATTTAGCACCATCTTGAACTTCTCTAAGATCGTCCCTCTCACCTGATGATGACCCTTGGAATAATATCGGGCAGACATGTGTAAATTTCTTGAAGAGATCTTAGTCAACGTGACACCAAATCTTGGATTTGTTCAAGGCAGTGCCTCCTCTGACAAAACATAGACCTGAACGTTAGGTGGGGGAAAAAACAATGTAAAGTCTAAGAGAGTAGACCAATGCCTCCATAGTTAGAAAATGTGGAGAAAAATGATCCAGAATGAGCTTGATCAAGAAAATGAAATGGAGAGAATCTTGAAAGTGTTGCAAAATTAGTCTTGAGACACTGCTAAGACATCTCTGTCCTTTTTTTCCTTAATGATTGATACCATTTCTTTTTCTCGCACTGTGGAAAAAAATTTTCACATGTCCTTCAATAGAACAAATAGTTTAGCAAGAATGAGACTTGACCAAAATAAACTGCCAATAATAGAAGAAAGTGCATGAAGTGACCAGACTCCCCAAGTTTGGAAACAAGGTGTTACAGTTTTTGGTTTTCAGTACTGGAAGGAACTGCAAAATTTGTAAACGTCAAATGCTATGGTCTCTTCATGTTAAGCAAGCACTGAGTTCTTCATAGGCAAATTTCATCTTAAACAGATAGTAAAATTCAAACAGAAAGAAGTACGTATTATATAATGAAACCTATTTTCAAAGTATATCTGAAATTTGGCTTAATAGTATGTCTTTCTTGAGAGCTTATAAAAATGTCAATCTTCTGTCAGAAACAAAAATTCACTAGCATATTCATAAAAGGGAAAAAAGGAAAGAAATCTGGCCTAACTTTCATTTTACAGACGAGGAAACTGACACAGAAAGGGAAATGACTTGACAAGGATCACCCTGAATCAGAGCTGGGAGCTGGAGCCTGGCCATGCCTCTTGGCCCAGTGCCTCTCCTTACCCTGTAGGAACTCATACCCCATTGTAACATGATGTGAGTGGGGCATCAGATGATACTCATAAATCTACCCTGTATAATTGTATTAAGCAATGTCACCCCAATAAAGTTAATAAAATGAAATCTATTCATCATAATGAAGTACTGGCAGGAAATAAGAGGACTGGTTCTTCAAGATCTAGAAAGGATTTTAAGAAAATCTTAGGGCCGGCTGGGTGGCTCAGTTGGTTACAGCGTGTGCTCTTAACAATAAGGTTGCCGGTTCGATTCCCAAATGGAATGGTGGGCTGCGTCCCCCCACAACTAGATTGAAAGCAGCAACTGGACTTGGAGCTGAGCTGTGCCCTCCACAACTAAGACTGAAGGACAACAACTTGACTTGGAGCTGATGGGTCCTGCAGAAACACAATGTTGCCTTCCCCAATTCCCCAACACTGTTCCCTTCCCCAATTTTAAAATCTTTTAAAAAAGAAAATCTTAACGATAAGAGCTCTCCCTAAATTACACAAACTTCTTTGGGAGATAAAATGGATGAAATTTTTTTAATAGAGAAGTTTAAATGGGCTGGATAATCATTTATTGCGATTGTTGTCAAGGGGATTCAAATCACTGAAGTCCTTTCAAACTGTGGGCTTCCTCGGTTACTGCCTGCCTTTCTCTGCATTTGTGGCCAGGAAGTACAGGGCGGCAGGAAACGAATCCTGCTTCTGTCTACTTTGAGTCAGGTATTGTTATGCATTTCATAGATGTTCATTCGCTTAGTCTTCACTAGAAGCTTTCTAGAGAGTTATTATTATGTCTGCCTCAAGAATTCACAAAGGTTAGGTAACGGGCTCCAGGCCATGCAGTTACTAGGCGGCACAACTAAGACTATATCTCACCATCTCTTATCTGCAGATGCGTGGGCAAAAGAGGATTGCACATTTGTTCCCCATCCTCTCCTTGCACTGCTCAGTCAGTCTTTGCGGAACGTAACTCCCGTTATCCTCCTGGCCTAACAGCTAGGGATGAGGCTGCAGCCGAGGCAGGGACCCTCCTACTAGGAGAAAGGCATTTAGTTGGTACCTCTTCACAAAGGCTCCAGAGTTCCAGAGCTTGGCTTAACAGGCAGGTTCTCATTGAACAATGAGGCTAAACTTTGCTTCCAAAATTCCCAGTTTAATAGTTCTCACCCTGGATGAAGAGACTTGGGATTTAGCTTTGAGACAAGCTTGGACCGCGATGATAGGAACTGGTTTGTAAAGGAAGAGGCTGGGCCGATGGGATGTAGGGAGACACACAACATCTGGAGCTCACATAGTTTGTGCTGCTGAAAGTCAGCAAGATAATTTTTTTAAGACTTTATTTTTTAAAAGCAGTTTTGAATTCACAGCAAAATTGAGAGGAAGGTAAAAATGATGTCTCATATACCCACTGCCTCCACACACAAGATCATTTAATGTTCTTGGATGAAGGGTCATTTCCATCAGGATCCAACCAATTTCTGGTGCCTCAGGAGCATGAGCCAGCCTCCCCCTGAAAGAGCGAAATGTGCTCAAGGCAAACTACAGAGATGTCATCCTATTCCCTTGCCTCTGCTTTTCTAAAGATGAGCCGTCCTCCTGCCCTGCTGTTACCACTCAGATTAAACATGTTCCCCACATTCATACTGTAAAAGTTGTGGCCATAGAGATTAAAAAAACAATCAGCTGTGGCCTACCTGAGGTATGTCAGTCACCTTCCTACTCTTGTATCTTCCATGGCTACCAGTTAGCCACAGAATTAAATACCAACTTCCCAGCCTTCACAGTCAGCTTTCTTTCTGGCCTCCTTACCCACTCCCTGCAGCCCACACTGTATCACCTATCCTGGCTACATCGGATTCCTCCTTCCCTGACTGGATTACACCCTCCCCTGCTTTTAATCCTCTGTACAGTTTCAGCTTCTGTAATTCTACACACACACACATACACACCACCTGCTCTGCCAATTCAAATCTTCACCTTCCCTCAAAGTACAACTTCAGTGGTTAAGATCACGACGCAAAACTGACTTTAGCAAACTCCATTAAAAGACAACCAGGGACCAAAGAAGTTCGATAAAGGGGATGAATAGGGTGGCTTTAAGTTCACTTCCAGCTCAGAGGTCACCCAGCGGATTAGGATCCCTGCAGAGATCGGCGGAACCAACCTGCTTCCCTAAGACACCCCTTTCTTCATGCTGCCAGGACTTACACTACCTCTTAGGAGAAAGCAGGCGGCAGCAGCTGAGTCCCAGGCTGCCAAGGGCCAGCCAGGAACAGAGCAGTTTCTTGGCATTTCTCCCACTTCCTCTTGTGGCAGACTTCTGTGGCTGTGCTGGGATTCAGACCTATCTCTGTGCTCCACAGCGACATACTTCAGTTCACTCGGTCAAGATTTATTCACTTCAGTCCCTCTACCTTCCCCCTCATCTGTGATCACAGTATCAAAACAGTCCTAAAATGGGATTGCTACACTTGAATTTACTGGGTATTGGAAAAGTCATGATTCATTTTTGCAACGAAAAAAATAGAAAAAATATGTCATGACTCTTCCGACAACCCAATAACACCTCCTGCCACGCCTCTTTACCCTCCGCATGCTTTCGGTCACCTCCTGATGCAGACAGTCCCCCTCACCTGCAAATCCTGCCCCAGCACACACCTTGCCAAGTTGGAGCAAGTTCTGGTACCTAGAGCAATTTACTTTGCTTACCCTTACAAACACTTGGTTGACCAAGCAATCCTATCCCTAACTTCCAGCAGAAAACTCATGTGGGTGACCAGAGGGCAAGAGCCAGGTCCCATGAGTACCTGTGATTTTGTCCAAGGCCCCAGCATGTGGGCTGACCCCGCTCATTTGCTAGGCTTATCCAGGTCTTGCAGAATGGGACTCTACTGAGATCCAACCAAACACTATGTGTTAGGTTAACTCATTCCTGGCACTTAGCAGATATTCAGAGTATAGTTGAATGGAAAGAGAAAGGGGAAAAGAGGGTCCAGTGTCCTTTAGATGAAGGTTTATATTTCAAAGCAAGAGTGCTCTGTAAACTTTTAATTTTCAGAACAAACTCTGGGCATGTCAGGTCTGTCCACAGTCTTCGCTCCATTCTGAGCCATGGCACAGACCAGCCAAGTGCAGTGACAGCTCCTGGTTCCTCACTTTCTTAGGCAGACCTGGCAGAAGCTTAAATTCCTGCCATGGGTGTCACTGCTGGTTGATCATTCCTCAGTTCCTGACAAACACTTGACTTTGGGCTCTGAGCTGTTGAGCTGGCTCCAGAAAGAGTTACTCCTCAGAGGTCAATTCCCCTGGACTCACAAAGCACCTGTACATCTGGCATCTAAGCATCTCCATGTTGCCTTTGTTCCCTTCAAGGTTTACATCTTCAGGGTCCCACTGTGGAGAAAAGACACAAAAGGTACCTTGGTGGAACAGGCCCTTCCCATCTCCTACAACCCCCCAACAACAGCTCCAATCCTGGTTCTCATGGCCCAGGCATAGACAAGGACAAACAGGTAAGGACAGGTTAACCAGGCCATTGTTTCTAGGACCTACCGGGGCAAATACAATTAAATAAAGGAATTAATGGGCAGCCACCCCGAACAGACCAGCCTCATTCCCCTCCCCACCCTCTTTTCCCCTGTCATCATCAAGTCCTTCTCCAGTAAGACTGAGTCACGATCCCTTTATCCTGAGAATTCCCACCTCCATGCCTCATTCCTGAAAAAGACCAGGCAAACACAACCCATTCTTTAGGACCCAGGAAAGTACCTCCTCTTCCAGGAAGCCTACCTGACTGCTTATGCCTATTGAGCTCTCACCCCCTTCTCTCTTTGTACTGCCTGTAACACTCATTTGCAGCTGCACATGGACAGCCTTTCTCTGGGCTTCTGCTTTGTCCTCTCAAGTAGAGGATGAGCTCCTTAAGAGCAGGGCATCGGTCTGCCTTTGCCCATCTGTTTCCTCATGGTGTTTCCTCTAAACTTGAGGTCAGGATACGTGTCAAAAACAATCACTGAAATCCTCATTCAGCGTGGTGGCCACAGCCAGTGAATACTTCATCGCTCTGACTCAGACAAGTATGGGAAATTGAAATTTGCAGGGGTAGGCGTGAAAGCTTAAACCAAGGGGTAGGCACAAAAGCATGCTGAAGATATTGGGTTGTCGGAAAAGTCATGTCATATTTTTTGTTTTTCATTGCAAAAATGCGTCATGACTTTTCCAACAACCCAATAGCTGCAAAGTCCTCCTATTGTTCTAATATGATGTTTGAGAGACAGAGCTTTGTATATGGGCTCAGAGCAAGGGAATCCTTAGTGATTCTAGCCATGGAGGCAAGTGGGGAGTTAGATTCCCGTCCTTATGCCACTAACTTGCTTTCTCTTCTCAGGGCCTTGGTTTCTCCATGTGTAAGATGGGATGTTAGATCAGCAACTAGATAATACGATTTCTTTCATTTCTGTGTTTCTATGACTGATAATTCTGAGTCACAGGTCACGTTGGACAATATCAAAAGACCCAGAATATTTCAAGCAAGTCCACATAGGCTGTGTTAGCCCAGGCCAGGTGATCTATTTGGGCAAGAAAATAGAGCCAGACATGAACATGTACTCCAAACAAAACAAAACAAAAACTAAAACAAAACACCAGATGCTCAAATTTGAGCTGAATCTATCAGTCCAGTCCTTACAGGTCTGGGATAAGGTCTTGAAGGCTCCCTGAGCTACTGACTGATAATGCCCATACCATTCCAATTATAAAATACAAATTGTAACTTTGTTTTAGACAGAAAGAGCCTAATTCAATGAGTGATGTACTTATAATAACTAAACTGAGTTTTACTACTTGGTGATTAAAAACAGAATCATGTTAAAAAGACCACCCCATTCCCACTAACCCTGCAGGCCAGGGACAGAACTGATTTGGTTGGTGCAGCTCAGCCCCCTGTACCTGTTCGGGGCTGTGCCAGCCACTTTTAGTGCTAACTTCTCATTTACTTGTGGTTGCAAATTTGGGGGGAAATCTAAGCAAATTCTTTCCTGACATTATCAAAGATCCCACGTAAAAGAGCGGGGCCGGCCGAGTGGCGTGATGGTTAAGAACTGGCTTGGGATGCCAGAGGGCCCCGATTCGGATCCCACATATGAGGGCCAGTGACACTGCCCTCCACAGCTAAGATGCTGAACAACAGCTCAACCTGGAGCTGGGCTGCTGTGAGTCAACGGCAACGGCTAGGCTGCAGCCCCTGTGGCAGTCGGTTGCCATGGGCTACCGTGTGTAGCCAGCAGCCAGCGGGAGCGGCCAGCAGCCGCAGTGAGCGGCCATCCAGAAACCAGTGACTGATGTGCCTCACCCGGGAAGAGCGCAATGATGGTGCCAACTTGGGCCAGTGAAGCAACGTCCGTCCTCCACAACTAGACTGAAGAACAAAAGGACAGCAACTTGTCTGTTCCCCTTCCCCCAATTCCCCAATAAAAATCTTTAAAAAAAAAAAAAGGGGGCTCCCCAGCCCTTAAGCCTCCATGGCCTGGTTTCCCAGTGGTGGAAGTCGGAGCCTGTTCTCTGGGGATGGACAGCGTGCTTTTTGATGAATGTTGTTTTCCAGCCGAGGCCTACATTCTAGATCACAGTTATGCTCTGGACCAACCTCACCAGAAAAAAAGGCTGATGCTGGTGACACACCCTAGCCCCTATCTGTGGGCTGGGTCCTAAGGTTTGGCATTTTAACAAGTTTCTAGGAAGATTCTTAGCTGCCCTGATGTTTCAGAACCACTGCTCCAGCTCCTGAAACGGCTTCTTAAGGGTTATTCTTGTGACACTGGACCCATTCAGCTTCTGGCAAACAGAAATAGGCCGCCACTTTGATCAAGTGAACTCTGTGAAGTGGGGTAAGCATTCAAAAACATTTTAAATCTTTTTCTTCTGACTCCCCAGAATAATGTGTTTTAAAGCTTCATTTTAGGTAATAAAAACCATTTGACCAGGCATAAAGAGAATTTGAGCAAAAGATGACCCACTGTCTTATCAGAAACAATCCTGGGAGATGACAGGCACAGGTGGTTGTCATAAAACATGCTCGACTATCACTTGGAGGTGAGGGTGGCATGGAGACAGCAGCCAGCTGCCCAAGGTCTCAGAATGACAGTGCGGAGGAATGTTTATCTCAAGTACTGCAGCCACTCCCAGCACCACTATCATTAGCAACCTGCAGTTATTCTGCTTGTTCATAGACCTCTGTCCCAAACCACGTTTCTTCCTTGGGTTACACATCTTCTGAGTCCCTACTGGATGGTTTGGGCAAAGTGGAAAGAACTCTGAACTGAGAGAACCCGTAAACTCCCCTGATCCTCAGACTCGCCTCTCATTTTCACTTTTTTTTTTTTTTTCTTATTTGGCATGGGCCCAGACATCATCCAAGGGGGGCTAACAAAAACAGGAACTGAAGTCAAGCCACAGGAAGTCCCTTCTGGAATAGAGAGCACAATTGTCCATACCTGCTCCGAGTTTAGGGCTTCCCAATACTTTTGCTGCAGAATAAAAAGAGAGATAGAAAAGTGTTGGATAGATTTTGCCACCATCATGGAGCAGAGCAGAGCTCAGCACCTTGCTGTGTCTGCTCAGTGAACCAAGAGGCAGGCCCCCGGGCAGTCTGAGGGCAAAGGAATAGCTGACTTCAGCAAGCAGAAAGGCAGAAGCTACTGGCAGCTACAATCTAGTGAAATGATCATCAGATAATGGTGATAATTATGAAGAACTGCAGGTCCTGGGAAGAATTATAACCTGTACAGATTTTTAAATTACTGCTATTAGAAATTATTATTATTAGGTGTCATAGTAATAAATCTTCCAGTTATTAACCACATGGCTGAGATGAGTCAACTCAAAAACCACAAAACTAGGAAAGAGAGATGCAAATAAAATCCCCACCTTGAAAATATGGGGTATTTGCTGCCAGCCAAGATTCACTTTTAATCAGCCTTTACTGCATGGTTGGTCCCACCCCAAGCCTCAAATATGTCTGAGTCAGGTTCTTGAAGGGTGGCTTCTCGGCCTGTCTTTTTCCTCCAGTACCGTGTGTGGTGCCTGGGAGTGTTTCTGATATAAAGCTATGATGCGACAAATGTCTGTTATATCGATCTGTGAATGTCTGGTAAGCTGAATAGCTGCCCATCTGAACAGTCCACAGCATCTGGCATTATTGTCACATTAAAAGCAAGCTTCCACTGCTCAATTCTTCTACATTTTCATTTTAAACAACTTTTTAATTATAATATTTTCAATCATACACACAAAAAAGTAATCTCATGAATATCCATGTACACATCCTATTTTATTTTCCCTAGCTCCCCATTTCTTTTTTATTTGCTAAAGCGTTTTAAAGTAAATAATTTCATCTGTAAATACTTCAGTGTGTACCTCATTTGATAAGGACTTTTCCCGTAAATCCTAAGCACAATGCCATTATTATATCTAAAACAATTAGTGATAATTCCATTGCATTCATCTTTTAATGACATCCTGCTGGGGGGAACATAAACTGAAAAAAAAAATTGGAAAAAACACAAAATTACTAAAAATTCCACATACAGTACAGCATACAGAATATAGCCAATAATATTGCAACAACTATGTATAGTGTCAGGTGGGTACTAGACTAATTGGCTGGGGGGGGTTCACTGCATAAATTATATAAAAGTCTAACTACTATGCTGTGTACCTGAAACTAATATAACATAATACTGAATGTTAACTGTAACTGAAAAAAATAAATAATTAAAACAAAATGTTTCCACGCACACTGCAAGAAAGAAGTGTTGATGAACACACAGGGGTTGCAAAAGTTAAATAACTTTTACAAATAAATACAGAGGCTCATGCAAAACAGAAACAGTAACCTGTGGTTACCACAGTGTTTTGTTTGTTAAAACATTTACTAAATGCAATGTGATATATGGGATTGTATCCTGGAACAGAATAAGAACATTAATGGAAAACACTTGTGAAATCCAAATAGAGCCTGTGGTTTAATTCATAGTACTGTAGTAATGTTAATGTGCTAGTTTTGACAAGTGCAGCATGGTGTATAAGGTGTTAATGTTAGGGGAAATTGGGTGGGTAGAGGTATACGGGAATTCTCTGTCCTACCTTTGCAATTTTCCTGTAAATCTAAAATTATTCCAAAATAAAAAAGTTTATTTAAAGCCGAGCAAACAAACAAACAAACAAACAAGGAAGCTTAAGATTCCCCCCAACTGTTTTGAAATGAAACCTTGAAACTGCCTTTTTAAATCTTCAGTGGCACAAGCAGTCTAAAATTTAAGCGTGCCCCCTAGCGGAGGTAATAGTCAAGATTTCTTTTTTAAGTTACTTTTTAAACCAGTGAAGATAATGTGCCTAAAGGGTACAATTAGACCAAATCTTTTTAATTGAGGTCTCTCCCCAACCCCTAAAAAAGTAGAAATAAATAACGTAGTCTTTTTCCTGAAAAATAAATAACATCTTACAGTCTTTTCCCTGTTTCCAGAGCAAAAGGTGTTCATTGTTGTATAGACATTTAAAAAAAAAAAAAGAACAACAAAATAAAGATGGCCCATAATTCTGTCTCCAAAAGAGCCTCTATGAAGTTATTGAATAGCCCTCTGAAACACACACACACACACACACACTCACTCACATCAAATTGTACAAATGGCTTTTCTCTCCTAAAATGTAATGAGTATTTCCACACATCCTTAAATTGTCTTTAGGACAACAATTCCATCACCTTTGTGAACCACTGCATGTCGTATTTCAATTCACCTCATTTCTAAAAGCACTCTTTTTCTCACACTTCTGAAACCAAGCAGCATCCTGTAGACCCTGTCCACAGGACGTGTGGTAAGCTTTCCTTTGTTCTTGAAGACTTTGAGGTATGTCTTAGCAATTGAAGACATGGTCACTTTGGACTGTGGGAGCTGGATGGGCCCTCACAGACCATTTGTCCACCTCCCACCTCTTACATTTGGGGAGAAGTGACTTCCCCAAGAGTGAGGAGGTGAGAGGGTGCTAGACTTAGGACTGATCATAAAGCTTTTTTGTTTCTTCTGGATATAAAGGATTAAGACTGGACAGATACATACCAGCTACAGTTCTCAATTTTATTAAGCAGATTTTCTTTTGACCTAGTACCTTATAGACTTTTAAACATTCTACCATATGCTTCAAAATCTCATCCTTTCTATTCCTTTTTAAAATCCACACATTATTAATAGTTAATTAAGCAGTTCTTTGACACTTCGGATCAAGCACCATTTCTCCTCCACACTTTCTTTCCTCCTCTCTAGCTGCCTAAATTCCCCATGCTGCTCTTCCTTCCTGGGCTGCGGTGGGAGAAATAGGATGTAAAATGAGAATATGCGTCTGAGAAATAGGATGTAAAATGGGAATATGTGTCTCAGGCTGAGAGGTGCTCTCTGCAAGGCCCAGTGTGTACTAGATCAGCGAGAGAGAAGTTCTGACTCACAGTGGGTTAGTTTCCTTGATAAAGATGACACATAGTTTCACTTCAGGGATATCCCAAAGTTGGAACAAAAGGGCCAAGACGGAGGAACCATGTGTATTGAAACAGTGGGCATTGAGGGTTGGGAGCAAGCGCAGTTTTAGGCCAAATCCCAAGATACCTAGTGGGAAAGGACTTGGCAACCTTGGCTCCTGTTCCTGACTTTTTAAAATCATTTCTTTCCAGTTTTATTGAGATATAATTGACATATAACATTGTATGTTCCTGATTTTTTAGAAGAAATTTTGTTGCTCAGAAGAGCTGAAGACGCGATCTAGGGAAGGGCCAGAAGTCGGCAAGTTTGATTCAGGAGCAGGGTTGCCGGATAAAACACAGGATGCCAGTGAAATCTGAATTTTGGATAAATAACGTTTTGGTGTAGGTATGTTCATCTGAAATTCAAATTTCACTGATGTCCTGTATTTTTTGCCTGTTAAATCTAGCACCCTACTCAGGAACACCAGGAAGGCTTCCTGGAGGAAGCAGGATTTAGACAGGACTTTGAAGGTCAGAAAGAGAAGACTGAAATAAGCAGAGGAACCCAGAGAAAGGGAAAGCTGAATAGATGTGCTGAGAAAAACCTGGAGAGCTGGCTCAGGGCAGGCAACTAAGTGTCCTGGAGGTCAGGTTAAGGGGTTTGGGATTAAACTGTAAGCTATAAGAGCCACAGAAGGCCTGACAGCAGGGAGGCCGTGGGGCTGGGATGGCGTATTGGGAAGATCCTGGGTGGGACGGCAATGAAAGGAGAGATGGAGGCAGGGGCTCAGTCAGGAGCGCCTGCACTGGTTCAAGTGGAAGTCGTAAGGCTCTTCCCTGGATTAGGGGCAGTGGACTAAGAAATGCTTCTAGAGACTGAGGTGGCCAGAGGAGGTATTCTGAGAGTGGCGTCTGGGCAAACCCCACAGCCTGAGCTGCTGTGCCATCAAGGACATTAACACATTTGGCTGGTGACTGACCCTTTCATTTTCTAAATGGAAGCCTTATCTACTTCTAAGAATTGACTCAGTGTCATTAACTTCCATCTGTCTCTTTCAACAACACACTTTGACACGTAGGGTCACATTGTTAAGTAGGATGCCCAGTCTAAAGCTGGGCTTTCACAATGAGCATTGATGGGGCCAGTGCTCTTCTGCATCAAAGCTCCTTTACATACTGACCTTAATGGAGCTGCACCATCCTCCCTGAGCTCGTTATCTCCACTTTCAGAGCAGGTACAGAGAAATGAATGGGTATCGTAAGGTTCCACAGCTAACAGGGCCGGCGTGAGTACTGGAGCCCACTTCCAGCCCGTATTCCACTGCACAGCATATAACGCCTTTGGTTGTCTTGTAAAGTCCCATCAGCACCCCCATTTGACCCTCACAGTCACTCTGTAATATAAGTAGGGCTAGTCTCATGATTTCCATTTACTAAGGGAGAAACAAAAACTCAAGAAGTCCAGTGCAAGGCCACCCAGCAGGGCAGCATAGATCCCCGACAAGCCCGTGTCTGCCCCACTCCTGGTCAGTCCTCTTTCTCCGGCAGAGCCGGTTTCCCTGTGGGGGCCCAGCGGTGCATCCTTCCTCACCCTTAGGGAACAGCCGACTGCCTCATACATTTTAGGAGGTATTATCTTTCACTGTCTCATGGCAGGGAGAATCCACATCCTCAACTTCATTTCTGGCCTTTGGCACCTATTGGAATATTCTGGCTTCTTTCTTCTTACTTAGATGCATTTTCTTCTAAAATGAACACTTTTAGTGTGTGTGTGTGTGTGTGTGTGTGTGTGTGTGTGTGTGTGTGATTTATTTATTCCTTAAAAGAATGATTTGGCTTTAAGAATGGGAATCTGTCCTGGGAATCCGTCCAAGGGAATCTGTCCTGGTCTGCCAGTGCTGGAAGCAGGGTTTGGAGAGGGCACAAGCACTCCCAGTTGTCAAGAGCCTTAGGGACAGAATTAACAGGACACACAGGCCCTCTTTCAGACAGAGCAATCTGGTGCTTGGCTCC